CCGACTGAAACATGCCCTAATTGAAGGTTCTGCGACACCTTGCGATTTTTTGTTGGGAGGCCGACCATGTGCCCCCCGTCCGCCTACCAACCCTTTCACCTATCCTTCTACACAGAATGTAAGACCTATTCAACTGACATCCGAGCCCCCTTTCTATTCGGGAGTGGGCCTGAAATTAATGTGAGGTAAGGTGCAACGACAATTCTGAATGCAGTTCAAATAGGAAACCGATTGCAAAATGCAGTAGGTAGAATAACAAGGGTACTCACGCGCAAGAGATATTCAATCCTTATTCCCGCCGCATCAATGCTTTGGTCCAATGTTTTTGGTTTAGTTGGTAGTGGCAGTTCCATAAGGCAACCAGCCTTCCGATCGTTTTCCGGAATTTGTTTTCGATCGTCGCGCTTTTGATCCACTCGTCCGGGAGTGTCCAAATTGGGTGAGAACTTATCGACCACTTTGGAAGCATATTGCTTGGGATAACTCTTTTTAACTGAAACCTTCTTTGATTTGCCAATAGATACACAACCAGGTTCATCTTTCTTATCTTTAACATCTGCATTGGCACTCATTTCAAGCTCCGGCAGGTTAGTTAACTGGAAGACTTCAAAATATGCAGATTTAATGGCCTTTGATTTGTCAGAGTACACAGTCACGCGAATTGTATCTTCCGGTTGGAGATGGGTCTTTTCCACCTATTAAAGCAGGATATGCATCAATGCATTTAAAGTTAGCATTCCAGGAGACATATATTTGGAAATATGGAACTCAGATCATGGGTTATTGGTTGATAATAACTATGAAGACCCCTGTTTTATCTGTTGTGTTAATTGAAACGAGTTTTACTTTCTGCATTGCTTGCTTTCTCGTTCTGCCAGCCAACCACATTATTCCTACGCTTATCGCACAAACGCATAGAAGGAAGTTTTCTGGGCAAATGATGTACGAATTTTCTTAATCACCACATTGATCCTCAGCACCGAATAGGGGTTGGAGCGATCATTGCACTTGTTTATAAACTGGGTTCGTAAACAATCATTCAGCAATTCCGGCTCTTATGATGGCCATCTCTCGCATTCTCACTTCTATTGGGCATTCACGCTATTTTTGTAACCGATTTTTTGTTCACCAGACTACTCATGGTACTGGCTGTGTATCTGAAAATGTCCCCCAGCCTGTGTGATAATTGTGGCAGTCGAGCCTGACTTAGCCACCTTGATGACAATAGAAGGACTGGGATCAATAATAATGGACTCGTTGATTGGCTGAAGTTAAGCCGGCCACACGAGAATACCGGTCGGCACTGGCAGTAGTGCTACTGAAACCCTACCTTATACCATTGGTTTTCGATGTGGTAAAGTACTATCGATAGTTGTCGAACTCTGATCAACTTAAAGACAGCTGGATTTAGTAAGATGTTTCGTTAGGGATTATGCAGATGGCGTCATTTTCAAGGCAACGTAACAATAATAACTCGGTCAGATTTCCTTCATCCTTACCCTAACACCAGGCCTAATGTCTAACCCTGCCTTACCTTTAATCTATATCTTAATACTGAGCATGATCAGAACTTACCTAAACGCTAAGGATGATCCTAAACTTGCACAAAATGCTAACCAAAACGTTGTCATAATCATCCTGGCATTTGGCGCAAAAATAACTTTACTCTGGGTGGTTCCGGTTAGTCTGTCAAGTTTAACTGGCAATATTAGTCATCTTTCGCAAGGCAGCGAATGGGTTAGGGCCCCAAGAATCGGCAAAGAACTAGTTTACGAGCGTACTCGCGAAACCTATCGGTCGATAGGCGTGTACTACGAGAGCCGTGTTAGGTGCCAACATATCCGCAGTTTTCCAACATATCCCTATCCCTTATTTTAAACAGGGTTGGCCGTCTTTAGAGGGTTTATCAGGACAGTACAATAGGTATTTGTCCATTTTATTAAAAAAATTCGTTTCGAGTAGATTGTTTAGTTCGCGTTGTAGAATTGACTATTTTGCAGTCTTATTCCAATGCAGTACAGTCATGCCAGGATTTGGACTTTTGAATAAACTTCTGATCTGGCCACCTGCGAAAATAGTACTTTTTAAAAATCAGATACTTAATAAGCATGCATTTTCCCATAGATTTTCGGTACCGCTAAAGATTTCAATATTGAAATATTTGCACCCGAAGATATTAATTATGAGAATAAGACTTTCGTTGGGAAATGTCCAATTTTATTTCGTGAATT